CTAAATATATTCTCTTTCTCTTTCTCAGAATTGGTTGTCAATAGCTTTCGAATACTTTCTTCCTTAGTCAGATGATGAAGCTTTCCATCCAATGGATTTAATGTAAAAGAAAGCAAGGTAAAGATCTGGAAGAGGTAACAAGCCATTCAAAGAATTAATATTTTTATGAATTACCACTTTCATATGAAAGAAACTAAACATATGCCTTCACAACTTAATCCTTTGAGAACAAAGTTTATAAAATATTTCCTTGATCTAAAACAATAGTCAGACTGAAAAAAAACATAAAATTTTGTGATAATAAAAAGGAAAGAAAGAAGTGAAAAATATTTTAGTACACTATAAAATTTTAAAAAATCTCAATTTTGATAAGTTAACTCAGAAAAATGAAGTATTGTTTGCTCTAAAAAAAAATCACAATGAACAGAGAGGAAGATGTCAAGTATGCTTGTTGTTGTTAGGTGCCACTGATAAGAGTACAACTCATACCTTATGAACAAAAGATCTGAACTCTGTTCTATCCTGCACCATCCTCACAATTCCTGACACGTAAGAGTCTACTGCAGCAGGCACCATGTCAATCCACCTGGTTAGAGAGGTTACAGCCAGACTGCTCTTTGGTGGTAAGAACAGTGAGACTTCTCCTCACATACCTTGGGCATGTTGCTAGGAGGTGCTGTTCCTTGGAGAAGGACATGAAGCTGGGAAGGGTGGAGGGTCGGTGAAGGAAAGGAGGACCCTCAACCAGGTGGACTGATAGGGTGACAGCTGCAATGGGATCTTGTGTGTCAGGATGCTTAAATTCATATAAATCCCAACACTAGTGACAAGAAGCTCCACTGCAATTACAAAGGCACAGGATTCAAATCCACCAGCTGCTCTACAGGAGAAAGATGGTCAGTTTCTTTCCTTGTAACTTTAACACCTCTGAAAACTTGCTAGAAGGTCATCTCGGAGTCAGTTTCTACTTAATGATAATATAGAGAGTACAGCGAATATCTGAAAGATGACACTTCATACAACCTAAAGAGTTAGCATAATTTAATCATTTGCTTACTCACATATGCAACTACTGGGTAAAAGATTTAATTTTTAACTTGTCTAATTAAAATAATGTCCAACTCTCTGATGCATA